CGCTTTTGTCATGTGACCTCACAGACGCCTGTTTATATTCAAAAGTCCGTTCAACTGTAAAAGCACGCAGCGCAACTAGTCCCAGTTCAGCCTGACACCTTTGGACTTATTTACTTCCCTGTTTCTTCCTGTAGTATATGGCTTTAAGACATTCATTGGTACGAGCCAAACCACACGCACATTTATAGTTTTTTCGTTGTACTGAAGGTCAATTCGAGTCGAAGGACGATTCGATACCAGTATCAGGCCCTGAGGCAGTTGATACCGCGGTGTGCCAACTACCACTCGAACAAGGCAACTGTCTGGCGAACTTTCAGCGATGGGGATTCGATGCTAGTCGAGGACGATGTGTGCAATTCACCTACGGTGGTTGTGGTGGCAATGCCAACAACTTCGAATCGAAGGAAGCCTGTGAGCAACGATGCCTCGGTAAGTAGTATTTTGAGGCAAGTAGCACTGAACGTGATTGGCCAGGTTGCTGGATTTAAGCACATCTAGTACACATGAACCTCACTATCCTATCGGATAGAAGATAAGGCCGACTCGCGTGACCGTCAGCATTTCTGTCGCCAATGTGATCTCACCACGCCATGTTGATAGCGCGCCATGACTTATTTCTGATAAGACACGTTGTGCCGAAATGTGAATACCAGTTACCCGATAGAGGTGCGAATTCTCAAACTGCTGAGTGCTCAGTCCACGCAACCCCCAGCATGGAGGTTGACTACTAATCTGAACTCTCAGGCATTTTCCCCGAAAGAGTAATAATGACTTGACTGTTTGGTGTGTGGTCGTTTTCGTGTGTCGTGAAATGATCACCACTGCTAGTCATGGTTCGCCTATTGTTCATTTCTTGCTCTGGTGACACATTGTCCAACACGAGAAGTAGCAACAACATCTACAAATGCATCTGTACATATGTGCGCACAAATTCTCCCGCACGATGACTCACCAGGAGCATTAGTGGTGTCACGGCGCGTGACGCTTGTTGCAAAATTCGTTAGCTGAATGCGTGATACGGCTAAGGCGCATCTTGTGTGCTGTCACATGACCAATTGCACAATCTGGACTATGCACAGTGCTCACATCCATTGCTCTCACCCAGATGTCCACACTCAACTGTCCACTGCTACGTCATGACTGGCGCACAGGCAACTTAGCCAATGAAAACCTTTTAAGGGCAACGTATTGACGTTAGGCCAAGTAATGATATGTTGCTGCAATGCGACGCGTTACTGTCTACGCATCAGCTCATTGAAAGGTTTGCGTTGGTTTCGCGATGGCTGTTTTATACCTGAGTGCCTTCTTCCCACACCAGCCAATATACCGATGCCAATACCTGCCGCAAACGACGGGACTTTGGATCCAGTGTGCAAGTTGCCCAAGGAAGTTGGCCCATGTCGCGCAGCCGTTCGCCGATGGACCTATGACCTCTCGAAGGGTCAATGTGTTGAATTCACCTACGGCGGGTGCTT